CTCTCTCTCTCTCTCTCTCTCTCTCTCTCTCTCTCTCTCTCCCATCTAAAATACGCCAACAACGTACCTTAAGACATTCACCCCCCCGGCGACCTTCTTCCTCGATCGCTGATCGGCCGGCAGAGACCTGCCTGAAATCCCGGAGAACGTCAGTCCACTGGTGCAAGACCTCTTATGGCAGTGCTTCTCAAGAGGTATTTTTTGGGGGCGAACGGCTTAACCCGGTACTACGCTTGGGATTATTGCGGCTTATTCCGTGGAGATTTCCATCGTTTGGGTGGTTCAACTTCCCCGAGCGGAGGAATGTACCGTGGGTATGGAAAATTTTGCTTTTCTTGTGTGCCCTTGTTGTGTCATTTACAGTAGTTCGCACTCAACCCGATGCTGTCCAATATGACCCCCCCTTTTTTATTCGCTGTGCACGCTAGTTTGGTTCATTTTCAGGCTGTTTGTCTACCTCTCTGGGTGGCTCTCTCCTTTGTCCACTCAGAGCCACACAGAACGCTTCCGCTATCCTAACCCCCCCCCCCTCGCCTGCTTCTCGCACACCCGGTGCATGTTTTGCCTTTTTGCTTTGAGATTCTTCCACTGCTTCGACTCCGTCGTGTGAACCGGTTGAACAATGAGAATAAGCTGTTTTTCAGCAAGAGACAATAAAACCAAGGGTGGGGAAAACTGCCTTGCCCTTGTCGGCTCTTTTTCAGATCCCTCCCTGCGTCCGACCGCTAGTGAACTGCTCCGGCACGCTGCGGTGGCAGAGGTGTTGACCACCCGCTCCTTGCCAGCGTTCCGTCCCGCCCCGCACAAGCGGACCACGGTGGTCCCCTCCACCGCACGCGAGTACGCCGTTCCTTCCTTGCAACTGTCGGTGAGCCATTGATGTGGCTGTTGTTGTTGTTGTTGTTGTTGTTGTTGTTGTTGTTGTTGTTGTTGTTGTTGTTGTTGTTGTTGTTGTTGTTGTTGTTGTTGTTGTTGTTGTTTAACACCTAGCAAGCGTACGTCTCGGGGGGCCAATAGTTGGATGTTTTGTTATGTTGCAATGCACAAACACCGACACAAGCCCCCGCCATTGCGTGCGTCCCTTATTTCCGCCGCCCCTTCAACCATGGTCCCTCACGGTTTCCTCGCTCGGGTCTCCGCTGTCATGTTCCTTCTCGCTTGCCTCAGCAGCGCCCCGACCATAGCACCACCAACACCGCCAACAGCAACAACACCAGAGGCAGCGGCAGCAACAACAGAGGCAACGGCAACGACAAATATGGCCACGGCAACAACACCGCCAACCCCCCGATCGGAAGGTTTACCTTGAGCGTCGACAGCACCGACGGCATGAACAACAACAGCCGTGTCGAACTCCAAGACGACTACGAAGGCATAATCCCCACGCCGGCCGCCGCCGCCGCCGGTCTAAACGGTGATACCGCAAGCGGAAACAACGGCCGCGACGGTGGTCGCAGCGTCGCCAGCAACGAACGCGGTCGTGGGCACAGCGATGCCAGCACAAGGAGCAGCGACTGCGGAGGCAGCTACTACCGCCCGCACCAGTACCCGATACCCCAGCAAGCCGCTACTCCCATGGATCTGCTCACCTCCCAGCCACCGCCGAGAACCAAGTGGAGCTCGGGAGGCGGTGTCCGGCCGCGGACCGGGGGTGCGGCGGGGTGGCCATCTACCGCCGCAAGCGCCAAGGCCGGCCCCACGCCCACGGTACGATACCGAACGGGACCGAGAAACTTTTGCAACCAAGTGTATAGATAGCCTTGAAATAGGGGGGGTGCGTTTGGGAGAAGGATCAACACGTGTACTTTGGTCAAGAACGATGTATTTCGCATTCACGGCGATATATTTGCCTTCTCAAACGAATGCGGTAAACCCAGCGGTGCCCGTTGGTTTCATTTGATTTGGTAAACAGTGGTGTTCCGTTCCCCATGTACTCCTGCCATGGTTCAGTTGACCTTTCGCTTTATTTTGTTGTTCTTGTTGTAACATATAGCGCGGCTGCTGTGTTGTGAATATTTGATGGCAGGTGGAGGAGGGCGAGGAGAGTCAAAGCGGCAGCGAAGTCGGTTCGCGCAGCGGTAGCGGAGCATCCACGGGCGACAGCACCAGCACGTTGAGCGTCCATCAGCAACGCCAGCAGCACCACCAGCAGATTGTGAGGAAATAATGTTATTGGACGCCGACCTGTTTGGGCGACAAGGAAACACACGCTGACTCCTGTACGTTAAGGCTTGCAGTGCCCACCGCCTCCGTCGAATAGCATGATGTTGCTATGCGACATCCATTTTCCCGAGTACGGTACGCTTGAAAACTCTTGACAACCCGCCACAGCTGCTCCAGAGTGGATGTCGTAGTGCAGAGGGTCGCAGCCTGTTGCGCAAGTGGTGTCGTGAAACGTGGTTCACTAAAAAAAGCATGAGATCTCCCGCCTGCGGCCTCAATAACGCCAGCCACGAAGGGCTCTTTGACGACAATTCCATGCCTTTTGCGCATGTTGACATCCAGAGGAACGAGATCGCGCCCACTTTTTGCAACACTTTTTGTGGCCACCTGACCTCGGAGCCGCCCCCCCGCTGCCATGTGTGCGTGCTTGGGACAAGAAACGAAATCAACTTGTTGGCAACCCGTCTCACCAGCGAAATGGTAGCAGCAATGCCGGCGGCGGAGTCGTGACCGCTTGTTCAGGTCCTTGCCAGGACGACCCGCTCTCAGAACGTTCTTCGCCGAACCCCCTGGCCGTGCACCGGCAGCACCGAAATCACTGTGGCGGCGAAACGGTCCTCGACGGGGTGTCCGTGAACGCCTGGCAGAAAGCACAGGGCGGGGCGGGCCGAACGGGGAGCCCCGACAGCTACACGACCGGCAGCGAAACAGAGTGGGGCTCCGCGCGAATGAACGACAGCGTAATGGACGACGCAAGCAAGGCTGGCTCATTCGGCAGTGCTGACAACAATAGCAGCCCCGCTTGCACGATGCTGCGGGCCTGTGCGGGTGCTGCCACCACCGAACCGGCACCATCGACAGCCTGTGTCTCTTCACGGAATCCTGGCAGCGGTGGTGGTGGTGGCTGCGAAGCTGGTGACCGCGGAGACGAAACCGATCGCCGGGATGAACCCGCTCCAGAGCGACAAGAAGACCGCGGCGGAAGCAACGGTCCTACGGGGGGGACGGCAGCTGTGGTGACATCGAAGGAGGAGGTGTGGGGGAGGAACCAAGCGGAGTCTTTGTTGTGGCGGCCTCCGCCGTTGGTGTCCGGCCACGGCGAATGGGGTTGGCACAACGGGATTCCACTTCGCGGGGGGAGGCTTTCGCCGAGTCAGAGGACGCCTCCTGTCGAGGGAGACGCAATCGTGGCAGAGGATTCTCCGAGCTCTTCCGCATCAGGCGGCGGGGGCAGCGGCGCGAGGTGTGTGCCGAGGTCGGAGAGATACTGATAGGGGAAGCCCACCGGGCGAAAGACAACAGGTTGTAGGTGTGGGGAAGACGTCGGTGGCGATCAATAATGGTAGAAGGGGGTGAGTTGTGTAAGCTAAAGGTTGGTCGGGGGCAAGGAAAGGGAGGCAAGTGGAACGCCGGAAATGGTGAAATGTTGCGGCGCTGCAGCCGTGGCAAGGGCATCTTGACTAGGCTAGGTTAGGTAGCACAACATCCCACGTCATTTGAAAACATATGGGGAGTTGAAAGGTTGTCAAATGGGATGCGGTTCCCCCATGTCACTCATCCGATGAAGTGCCCTCACGGGACGCCCACGTGTAGGGGGTGTGATGATTTGAAGCTGATGGAGTAATTACATGATGCCACCAGTGTGGCAAACTCCTTTCACAGAGTCTCACCTAGGGGCTGTGATATCACCCGTGTGTGCTATCGTTGGGGCCGACAGTGTACGATCGCGCCCGTAACCTTCTTCTGTAGGTATATATCGTACTTCACCTACAGTATGTGGATACTTCTTCCTCTTGTTTGTGCGACCGGGCATCGACGTAGAAGCACCGGCCATGGCCGTAGGCATTGTGTCCTCAAAATGTTGACATATTTGTTAGTACCGGGCGTGAAGACCAGCACGCAAGCATGCGGTGTAAGCAGCCACATTTTTTTCACTCTACAGTACGAACCTCCTATCCTCCCCTCAGCACACGCGCGGACAACCGCTGAACCCCCTGGAGTGATGTTCTTTCAACCAAGGTTACAGCGATTGTTCAATTCAACCGATGTTGTCGCAGGAGCAGCCGCGATTGGCTCATCATGAAATCGAGGCGGACAAAGAGCGACACTGCGCCGTCTTCGCATCGACCAGAGTCCGCGGATACGACCGGCTCAACTCTACGCGGACAGAGATCCTCCGAAGCGCCCCCTCGACGCCTGCAAGACAGCGACCCAAGCCCCGCTCTCGAGAACCACAGCGTCAACAGCAAACGCAACCACGTCATGGTGGAAAGAGCTGAAACTGTTCTCCCCGCGGATACCGGCACCCGATTTTCGGCTGCTGCTGCTGCTGCTGCTGCTGCTGCTGCTGCTGCTGCTGCTGCTGCTGCTACGGCTTCTGCCGCCCCCGCCTACACCGTTGCCGCCACTGCCACCGGATTTCCCGGAGATATGCCCGACAGACTAAGCGGCGGGCGCACAAGGCAGACCTCGTGCCCTTCGTTAGCTCCCAGGTCGGAGTCGGGAGCTTCTTCCAGCAGGAGCAAGAGCGCGATCGCTGCGAGGGCTTCAGAGTGGAAGAGGCGGATTCAGGAAAGGGGCCTTGGGGTCAAAGCCGAGGAGATCGTGAGTGATAGGCCGCATCCGTTGTCGTAGTTGCTGTTGTTGTTGCGGCGAACGAACGTATTTTTGGCTGCTGATTTCGGCGACTGCCGAGGACTCGGTCGCCGCCTAAGGGATTCCGAGGGCGAGAGTTTTGCGGCCTTCAATTGTGCTGGTGCTTCGCTTGTTGCCTTGCTTGCCAATCGTACAAGTGCCTCGGTGGAGAGATGGCGGTGCGATACATTGAAGTAAACTCTTGGTTTCAGTTTGCTCCTCGCCCATCTCAAGTGACCCAACCGGTTTGCGTTTTTTGATGCTCTAAGAGTTCACCTCTCCAAGCCACCCCTCGGTGCCGTTTCCCTTTGTTTTTTGCATACCAAAACTTCGGGTCCGATCGTTTCTTCCGCTTCCCCTCCTACCCCAGGACACTTTCCGGCATAACTCCAACCTCTCTCTGGGCGTTGGTTCGGTGACCTCCACGCGCATTGCGGCGGTGAGCGACTTCCGTTCTTCGACGCAAGGGCCAGCGAGCTCCGCGGAGGAACAGGAGGAACGGCAACAGCAACGGCGGCGATGGCAGCAGCAACAATCCGTGTACATTGGGTCGTCGAGAGCCATGGCGTCGCCTCCTGACTTGCGGCCGCCGCCAGTCGCGCCAGCCTCGGCGCCGGACAGAGGGCGAAAGGCTTGGGGAGGAGGATGCAGCAGTAAAGACACCGTAAGAGTCGCCTCTGAGCCCGAATATGCCGACGGCGGATGTGCCACGCAGCAAAACCTCATAAAATGGAACAGATACAGAAACCACCAACATCACGAAAATCGCCACCAACGCGAGCATCAAGAGCAGAATCAGCAGCACCGTGATCGAAAGGCCGAGATGTCCGGCCTCGGAAGTAGACACCCGCCGAACATGGACCTTGGTGGCGTTGGCGGCACCTTACAGAGCGTGGAATCCGGCAGTGACGGCAGCCTAACCTCGCCTATAATGTCCTTCTCGAGCAATGCTAGCACTCATCATGGCGGGGTTAACGTTACCAGCGGCAGCGGTGGCAGTGGCGGCGGTGAGGATGACAGCAGCGGCGGCAGCGGCAACGGCGACGGCAACAGTGGCAGCAGCAGCAGCGGCCAGGGTATCAGGAGCAATCCGGGCAGCGGCAGCGGTAGCGGCAGCTTTGGTGACGGTTTGAGGAGCCGTGACTGCACCGGTGGCAGTATCGGCCGCATGGCTGGCGTTGGGTGGGACACAAACGTCGGGAGGGACATCGCCACCGGCACGGCGAGGCCGCAGTTCCCGGCTACAGGGGGGCCAGAGGGCACAGGCGACGACGCACACGGAAAGGAAGACTCGGTGTTGCTCGGTCCGACACTCAGCCTTGGGTCCGAGTCGTCGTCGGGGTTGTTTGCGTTCTCACGCGTGGCAGGGGAGAAGGAAGCGGAGAGGGCGTGCAGGTAGAAACGGCAGCAGCATCGAGGTTTACGCACCCTCTAGGTGGGTCTTGAGCCTTTTTCCGGCCATCCCGATCCATCACCATTCCCTCGCTCGCATTGCGCTCACATCCCTTTCGGCCTTAGCCGTCTCTCTCGAAGATCTCCGATCGGGGACGCACACAGAGCTGCAACTGTTTCCTCTGGAGTGCTTTCGAGTTTGCGATTTTTTCGCACAAGAGCTTCAGCCGTCTCTCCGATGGGGTGTACACGCCACGGCCTGAGAAACCCATTCGACAGCGGTTGCGCGGTGTGCGTGTCATGCGGAGCATAGGGCACCCAAAGCAAGAGTTCGCTTGTTCAGCAGACCCGAGACTACATGCTGGGTCGGAAAAACACCAGTATCTTAGGGGCGAGGGGAGTAGTGCAGATCTCCTCTTCAACGGCCAAGGAAACACCTGCCTAGTTTGATGTACCAAAGTCAAACTTCATGCGAATCAGCCATCGCAAAAAACCCAGAAAATTCGTTCCGGGAGCAATATTAAGGTGTGTAGGGAGTATGCCCTAGTGATGTACCAGTACTACCGTAGTACTTCGTAGTTCAGATTTGCGGTCCGTGTTTTACTAGGCCAGAATTGTTGAATTAGTCTAATCTATCGACTTCAGTAGTTCGGTCAGACTTTTAAGCTCACCGAACTCTACGAAATGGACTCGTTTCGAAATCCCGGACCGCATTATATCCTTGTTCCATCGCGCACGAGCCGAAAACCGCTGATGCATTTCGGCGGTTCTAGATTCGTACTAAGTTTGACTTTGGAAAACCAACCCTGCTGTAGTCCAACCATTTCCTGGGTCACTGCAGAGAAAGAACTTGTGCGCAACTCCTCTGCGCCTTGTAGGGAGGGAAGAAACAGCGTTTTTTGGGGGGTGGGGGGTGTACTCATAGTCGTGCATGCCGTAGTCGTTAGACCATTGACCTCGCATCCCTACAAAGCCGGGACGGAGCACGCCGGGTTCTCACCGGACCAGGCTCTCACATCACCAAGCGCGAAGCGCCGTGA